CGAGCAACCAGATAACAAGTCATCCTTATTCGCTCAAATACACACTGCTATAATCAATAAAATTTCGAGTGAACCTGTATGGATAATTATTCCTACTGATTCACCGATGCTACACACTAGCCTGCGCTATGAAGTTAGGGACAAAAGTTCTGGAAAAATTCCTGGAGGATTGCATCAGCGATGCTGCGCAATTCTGCGAGATAACGTTCGAAGTCAAACGGACTGAGGGCTGACGTCCGAAACCTGCACGCACGTGTACGGGTCCGTCGAAGCTTCTGGAAGGCTTACCGGGGTGGGGGGCAAGGGGCTGTCTCAAAACGTCGAGCGAGAGGACCGCCGGCTCTGGGAGCGAACCTTCCCGACTTAGCATGGACACGAACCGTCGAAGCTTCCAGAATGTTCTAGAAGGTTCTAGAATGTTCTAGAAGGTTCTCGATCGTGCGTAATTCCCGGAATCGAGCGCAAAATTCCCGGAATGTGACGCAAAATTCCCGGAATCGAGCAAAAATTCTTGGAATCGAGGGTTCTGATGACGTCACTTTCAGAAATCGTAGAGCTCAGGACGGCAACTTAGCACGGACACCCACCTTCGAAGGTTCTGGAGTGTCGGTATATGTCGGTTACAGGTCTCCTGATCCAGAACTCTCAAACTTATACTACTATTAAGATTTATTTTCATAACAGATTGCAATTAAAACAACGTAAAGTTTAAAATATTCACAATTTTGATATTTCCAAGTAATGATCACAAGTTCAATTCTGCAATACAATGCTGCAATTAATTTACAAATCAATTGAAATGTTTTGATAGCAAAAAAGTACAGCAAAATAATCTGTTATGAAAATAAATCTTAACTGATATTACATTTTGTCATTACAATATTAATTAATTATTTCAGTAACCTACACATGTCATGTTTTGAAGAGGCTACACTGCTGCGTCGGCCACTTGCGGCCAACTTCTGCTGGTGCGTTTCTACTGACTAACCCTGTATACACTAAATTCTTGTTCTTTGCGGATAGCTGAAATTTGTAGAATTTCATCGGTCTTTCTGAATCCGGAAGTCTCTAAATCGAAGTATACAATATCCATGTCCGTCGAAAGTGATCCGCCTGCGAGCTGAAATTCCGGAATGGGCGGCCGATCTTCGTTAGATTGTGAAAAGCCATAGTTTGATTGATATTGTACGTCCTCATACTTTTCCATTTTCTTTCTCAAATTCTTTCTTTTTTCTGCTAAAACATTTCGTCTAAGTTTTGCGGAACGTGTTTTGACCTTCGCACTTCGTTGTAATGCAACTGCGTCTTTTCGGGACGCATACAATGCTGTATACTTCCTTGGGGATAAGGAGAGTTTCTGGTTCACGTCTAGGACATGCGATTCGCCCTCATTTTTATTACAAACACTGCTTGCATAACGAAAAGCTGCCGATCCGCTTAGGCTGTAACAACAATTTTTCGGAGCTTTATGCGCCATTATATTATTGACGCTTTCTATTGCTTGGCTCGAAGCTGCGACGGAAAATTTGTAAGCATTGTCGGCGTATTTCGAAAAAATCTGTTTTAAATCGTCGTACAGCTATTCATTTTTTAAAATAACTTTTTGAGGGGCCGAAATATTTCCGGAACGAGATTTGCGCCAATTTTCGCAATTTTCGTGACGATCAAATTTCAGGAATCTTTCGCAAAGTCTCGGTAAGCTCGAAGCTTTTGCCCTTGTTCTGCGCAATAGCATAACTGAAACATTTTTTAATGTAAGCACTTGTACCCTTCTTCATTTCGTTCGAATTTTTCTGTAACGCATACAAATCATTGCCGAACGCTTTTTTCAGATGGTTTCTGTCGCAAAGTTTGAATGTTCTTTCGCTCGATCCGTTACACACAGCTGCGATGGTCGAACTATCCTCGTCGCCAATAAGGACTCAAACGTTCATATTCAAATTTTTTAAAATAGTACTCTCATTAACAAGAGCAGCTACCACAGATGGTTCCATGGCCTTAGCTGTACCTTGGAAATTTTTACGGCAATCATGATCGTTTTTCTCATGGTCCATATCGCAAAACTTGCATTTCCGATTACGCGTAGCAAAATCTAAAATTTTTCCGCTCAAGTAACCGATGATATAGCCATAACCATTGAAGCGCTCGTAACTCCTGCCGTTTCCACGTTTACTCCATCCCATATCATAACAGATGATTATGCTGAGGATCTCGCCGATCGCTGCATCGAATTGTGAAGTTTGATCGCTTGACATATCGCGGTGAATATCATGATCGTTCGACGAATTGGAACGTGAAGAATGGAGTGCTTGATAGTGCGGATATATTTCGTTCACAATCTCCGTCGACCTTTTGGAAAAACATAGAAAAAGATGGTCTGTGTATTAGAACACAAGAATGAAAGATATAATCCCTTTTTATTGAAATGTTTCAGTGTTTCTCACATGATTATAAACTGCACTGTAGAACTGAGAGGTTGATTAAAAAATAACATTTAACTTCTAATTCTAACTAAGGCTAATTAAAAGTTCCAATTCTAATTCTATTTACAATTCTAACTTACTAATGTAAATAATCTCTGCAGAATGTAATATAATTTATGTATACATGACTGATGATTTTTTTTCTATTTATTTTCTTTACTTGGCGTCGATACGCTGCCGCGTATCTTGATATAACGATGTTAGGTATATAATGTACATATCATATATTGCAAGTCTAGCATAAGTGGGATCGGATGGATAATTCAAAAATGGGCGTTTACATACAGAAATAGATTTTCCGATTTTGTGAACATGAGCTATTTCTTATCACTTATCTATTTTCTATAATTCGAAAATTGTAGTACTTTACACTGGCTCAAGTAAAATTAGATTTACATTGATTCACTAATTGTAATTACTAATTGTAATCGTAATGTACAATAAGCTAATCGTAATGTATAATAAGATAGTCAGTTGCCACACAAGCGGCTCGTCGCGCCTCTTGGAAAAACCACGGTCAAAATTTTACCCGAATCCTTTGACAATACATAGACGCATTGTCTGTGCGTAGTCAACGGATTCAGGTAAAATTTTGATTATGACTTTTACAAAGAGGCGCAACGACCCGTACCAGATGTTTACTGCAGGGCTAATTGCGCGTGTTGCTAAATTCGTTTATCTCTCGCTATACATTTTTGTGGACGAATCTTACAATTTCGCTCCAAAAAGATATGAGCGAACAAGTACCATAATATTTTAACAATTTGTTTAAATATTTTCTGATATTGTTAAAGGTTGTCGATAATTAGTGCACGTTCTTCTTCGGCAGCACGTTGACAGCTTTCCACGGCTGTTGACTCAATGGCTCGGCCCACTTCTCACTCATATCGTTTGAACATATTCGATGTCATTTCCGGGATGTTCAAACAAGCCAATATTTTATTCAGGGCTGTGCTTCCAACACCAGCATGCACGAATCCTGTAATATGATAAATTGAAAAAATATATATAATTTTATATGAAAAACAGATTATTTAGTATTACTAGCTACTTCAAACAAAAAAGGCCACCAAAAAACCAAATTCGCGGTTATAATCATCGCAGGCCAACTGTCAAATTCGCAAAGCGAATTCTACCACGGAAAAATAGATTGTTTAGCCGTTTCATTACTCCAGAAACTTTTCATAAGCGGGATAATTAATGTATTGCATTATTTGTAAATTATTGAAAGTTTAGCGAACGTAAGATAATAACTATAAGCTGCAAGAAACGAAAAGGCAAGATCGCGGTTATAAACATTGCGTGACAACTATCGAATTCGCGATTTGAACTCTATCACAAAAAAATAAATTGCTGACGCATGAATATAGCCATTTCATTACTCCATGAACTTTCTATAAGAGGGATAGAAAATCAGTTAGTGATGAATTGAAATAATATTACGTGACTTACCCAGAACTGTCTTAGTATTCACGTCAGAAACTTTTCGTTTTCGTCCTCCTGCGTGCATTTTACCGGTCGCAACATCTGATAGCACTGAACAACGGTGACATTTTACCAAAAAAATGGAATTGAGTCCCAATCGTTTTTCACTTTTCACGTTTTGCAAAGAAAGACATTCAGTGCAGGAAGTACATACTAAATTCTTCCCGAGTTCTTGGATGTCAACGATTCGTCTTCCTTCGCACGGATTTAAATCGCTCGATTGCGAACATTTCTCTTCGGTTTTTCGTTTTTTCGTTTCACGCATCGACGCTATAAAATCAGTCTGTTTTTTCAATTTTTTTCTTGTTGTAAAACGCCCGCTGAATCGCACTCTTGTGTCCGTATTTTCCATTTCTTCAATTTTCGCAAAGTAACGTTCGGTCCACGGTCTCTCAGGTACATCGACAAACTGACCCAAAGTGACCTTACTGACGAAATATTGGCGGGCAGCGTGGCAGTACAGTGTTGCACGATCGACGCGCCACTCAACGGGTGCTATTGTGTCCGTGTCCATGGGCTAAACGTTCTATGTGTAGCGGCCCCGAGGGTACAGTCTCAGGTAGAAGATATTCAACGAACGGGCTCGGGCTGCCATGCGCGGTACAGGGACTTATGAGCGAAACTTTTTGCTACGACTGTCGTGACCGTACTACCTTAAGTTCAGTATACAATGATCAAACTATATAAATTTGTGTTGGCCAAATTAGTATTGGCTCAATCATCAATTCGTACATGGAAAATAATATAACCGTGCTATAACTTCAATGTGCTGTAAGTTATAACGAGTTTCATGACTAGGGTACCTGGGCCCTAGTTCTCGAGATCATGCGGGACATTTTGCCGTACGAAGGATTATGATTGGGTGAAACTAATGATCCGTATATGAAAGTTGGTCATATGAACTTCAAACTCGAGTTCCAGGGCCATCAATCTCCTGTGGTGCTAGAAAATTGTAGCGCATTGCAGTTACAGTTCGAGACAACTAGATGCCCTCTCGATAAGGCTATTTATTTTATAAGATCAAATGCAGATATTAAACTACTCGTTGGCGTGAAATAATGAAACGTCGTATACAATTCACGCAATGCTAGCGAGACAGACAAAGTCGAGCAGTGGATCGACAAAGTAGGTCCAACGGGTATCGAATTATCACGCGTGTAGGAATTTGAGGAACAGAAGAATTAAGAGTAGAAATGCGTAACAGGATCAAAATATAAAAGTTGATACCAAAAGAATTGTAATAAGTAAAATAAGATCGCAACGTATTGTTCCAAAGTTTTGATAGCATGAACGTACGAGAAGCGTAGTTCATGGGTTCTCATGATAACTTTTCAGAGTGACCGAGAACATTAAGAATAGCTACCACTAATAAGAAATAATATAAGAGTTCACGCTAAGGCACGGAATCTTTTCCTCTAGCGGTACGCGGTCTTCTCTTCAGTCTAAACTGGAAGGATAATTATGATATTATCAACATATTGCTATAATCTCCGCACACAGTATAACAGATTTCGCCCTTTTGGCGCCGAGACGCTTATCGTGAACGATACAATTTCGATATAAGGCGGCACGTTTTTATTGCTCACAAGCACACTGGCCAAGGTGGCTGTCAACGCAAGAACGGCGATCGAGGGGTTCTTCTCCTTACCGGTCGGAGCTAGTTCCCACACAGTAAATCTGGTTGGGCCCACTGGGCCAATCGACTACGCGGAAGTTTTCAGCCAATCATAGCTTACACGCAAATATTTAAAACATGCCAATGGACTAATTCGATAATTTTTTGAAACAATGCGAAACTATTCAATTACTACCTGACGTGAGATGCTTTATTTTAGAATAGATATTAAGCAGAGCCTTCACAGATTATTTAACTACGATATTGGGAAGGATGGTACGCAAAATCTATGTTCCCTGACAGTCTATGCATGATACCGGGACTGGTGAAACGTGATGGTAGTCCATGGCGATGTTCTCTATTAGTTGGGTCCCTACTTTATTTCGGGCCGATTGTGACGGGGTGAAGGCGCCTGTTGACGTTGGCGTTCTTCCACGCTCTCTAGCCTAACCTTCGGCTGCTTTTCTCCCGCGATACTAGAGAAGATGACGTTTTCTCTCCTGGTGACTTCCTCAGCGTGATGGTAGTTCGGCGTATCGCATGTAATTAATGTATAAACCAAAAACTAGCCGAATCTCGTTAAGTATAGTAATCGGGACCCTGGAGTTCTTGGCCGGTACAGTTGGATTTTATCTTCCGAGAGACGGTACTGCGTCCCGAGATCAAGAGCACGCGATTATCATATCGAGATTTTCGTGGCGTTAAAAATTAACGTCACAGTATGTAAAGTCGATCCACGAGTTAGATAGCAAGGCACACTGTCATGTCATAACATATTTGTTAGAAAGTATGCATTGTAACGTATCGTTTTTCTTAACTCGATACCGATATATTCGAGAACCAACCTACGTTACCTTCGCCCGTCCACCCTTCGCTCATCCATCCGCAAGCCAAGCGGGCACTAGCTAATTATTTTTTCATCAGGAACTGACGGGCCGATATGAGCTGGGAGTTAAGGTGGAACAGGCCCAACTCCATCAAAACGAGAGCTCTGACAGAACGTGTCAGAAGAGACGATAATTCATCGGATCCTGTCGATTTTTGGGGACGAGTAAAATGACGTAAGATCCACGGCTGCTTCCCCAAGGCATCGACGACAGCTGGGCACCACATCCTTAACTCGGGTCAGGGGGTTTCTCCCCTGCCCTTAACCGTATCAAAACTATAACTCCGCCCGCTCTACAGCCCTTTGCCCATTTCCAGCGGGGCGCCGGTATCTCACCCGGGCTTCTGCCGCTCCGTGGAGATGTCTCCGTCGAGTATTCTCCTCTGCCAGGCAACTCGGTACGTCGAGACTATCTCTCCACGGCAAGTTCGAGCACCTCGACCTCAACTAAACCATAACGAAATCTTCCGAGAGCATTGGCGTAACCATACGAATCAACCCAAGAGCGTAGCTACTGAGCAGGGTGGCGTATCCATGGTTTTGCACTAAATATATTTTATTTTTCTATTTTAGCATATATTTACATTATTTTATGAAAAACCACTTATGATTTGCTCAAGATTGCATTGATTGCAAACTGCAAAAAAACACATTACACATTAATGGGCCGACTATATATTAATTTCTTGGCAATTCACTTGTTCAAAAATAAAATTACAGTGCAATTTAAGAGTATCACTAGATTAGAATTTGTTAGAAACTATTCAAGAATCAGTAACTTTTTGCCGATTTTGCATTTATCCGAATCAAGCCGAGTTCAGTTGGCAAGAAACATCTAGACGCACTGGATTTCTACGTCTAATTCCTCAAATACGGGGAACTACGTCAAGCTCAAGATATACGCACGCACGAACGCATACACGCATACGCACTTGCGCTGTACATAAATGTTGGTTCTGCTCATTGTGCGGTCTAAAGGCTAATATTCTATACTGTTGTAAAACCAGCCTCATACTAGCTAAAACTTTCTTGCACGGTAGCTTCACGGACATAATTTGTTTGATTGTGTTGTGTATATGAGCAGAGCGAACACCGGGCGAAATGAAACTGAACAGTTGAAAACTTCCTTTACAGATATTTCATTAATGAGTAGACCGATTCACTCGATTCCTGACTCAAATCAAAGGGACTTGTCCCTATGATAGAAATAGAATATTGGATTTTCCTAAACGTACACTAATTCTAAGAATACAATGTATTTTCTTCAAAATCGTTTCTCCAGCGACTGTACTACTGAATATTATATCAGGTGATGTTGTCGCTACTAAATTATACGTACTTTGCACGAGTCTCTTAATACTTTGTTTTGCGCTTGTAGTATACAAGTATATTGGTTAAAGGTTTAATATACGGTGACAAATAATGATTACTGAAGCATATGATAGTCGTCACTAAACTAGTTCGCTTCATATTTAGTTACCTGGTGCACAGACCAATTGGACATAAATAACTTTTTACTGCGAATTCTGTCCACTTTTAAATAGATGGAATAGAATTAGATACGAACGATATCTTATCATAGTATATTGTATTTGGTTTAACATTAGTTCACGCTAGGTTTGGTTAGATAAGGTTAGAATAGGGTGGAATGTTCAAATTTTGGAGACTGAGTAGTTTAGTGGAATACTACATCGTATAAGTATATATAACGATAAGTACATTCGACTGAACAGAGCATTAATTGTTTGAAAAGGTTCTGTCAGATAAATATAACTTAGAATATTGTTGAATTAGTGATGGAAGATCGCTCAGGAGGCAGAAATTCGCATTTGTATCCAATTGTGTTTGTGAGCAACTAGGCATCACCCTTCTTATTCTTGAAAATCTACAAATCATTACACGAGCTCCTTACTGCGGCTGTAGAAAACGATGCACCTTATTTCTTAGTACCACTTTTATTACTAGAAATCATATATGATATCTTCCACTGCCTTTTTTGCCTACCGAAATACAAATACATTTTCTTCACCTGGTCCAATTTAAATTATAAAATGATAATCGCCATTATAGTTGTGATCATTGCCATGATTACGGCAGATTGAGCCTTTTATTTATTTAGCTATTAAGGCTTTGATAACTTTGCTGATGGAAATCGCCAATTCCCTCATTTGACCTTAATTGAGAGATAATGTGAAAGTTTCTTTTAGGTATTCTATGGCAAACCTTAAAAGAGACACATATGTTATTAGAGCTTCCCCAATAACTTTCTATAAGGTAACCGATAACATAGACGATCAACCGGAAAAACATTAATATTTCAGAATCATTCATTCACATTAGCTTCTTTTAATAAATATGAAAGAGGATTGTAATAAACCGTTTCATATTATATTAAATGAAATCAACTTGCATCATTCAATTATGACATCGATAAGTAGAACCGCTTGTGAATCGTCATACTGAGATTATATTTATTCATCGTGTCTAGAAACACAAACATTTCCTATCTCTATGACTACCGCTTTATTATTTTAGACTGTCCCTTATAACCACCATGTGCGTGCATACCTACGCCACTCTGGTCTTTATATCCTGTGAGTGCCCGTAAATGTTCCATATGTCTTTCCTGTTTCAGCCGACCTTTGAGTTCTTTCTGTCTAACAAGCTAACAGTTCTACAGTTTTAAAAATAGTTTTACTATTTTTTATTATATTGTAATATTATAACAGTACCTGGATTTCACTTCTGAATTAAAAAAAAATTATATATAAAACACATATATAATTATAATCTTATATAATCTTATAATAAATATTCCACATCTTATATCATTAATTTATTCAACGTAGTATTAAAGAAAATATGCTACATATTGAGATTCCTAGATACATAAGGCCGTATTCAGAACTCGCTCTTCAGGTGACTAATAGAGTTACTATTAGTTAAAAGTGACTACGCTGAGCAGTTAGTG